GTGGGAAAAAAAAACTTTTTAACAAATTCTAAAATAGTCTAACATAAATAAACAAAGATGAAAAAAGCAAAAAAAAAGAAAGGTAGCCATAACGCACTAATATAGCCTGTGCTAGGCATAAGGATAAAAATTATATAATAATTGCAACTAATTACTATATCTCGATTGTAAACCTTTGGTTTAGCTTTAGGACTTGTTCCAGGCACTGACTCGACTTGGGTATCTTCTAAACGGGGGTGGCAATCTCTTCCTCGTACTATAGCATTGTATTTGCAAAACAACAAAACATGTGGTTGCCTTCTACTGAGTTTATTCCGATTTGGTAGGTGTAAACAATACTGATCTTTTGAAAGAGGTAAGCCAAAATGCCCACTTTTTATCGAAAAACTTTGGTAGGACCGGCACCAAATGACAAAGAGAGAAAGACCTCTTGATACCACTTAAAGAAAAGTGAGTTACTAGAAACAACAAAAAAAGTCTTCCTTCTAGCCAAAACTGCACTACTCATATTTTGTCATGAGTGATAAACTTTGAACTTGTCGGCAGGTAGCGTATGAGAACTATCTTTAAACGACAAGTGCTGGGTTTGCAGTGAGTAATAAACTCTAAGCCTGTCAGCTAATGATGCTACCCAAAACTCTTTTGGCCTAATACCCAAAACCAAAACTAGTTTTAAATAGCCAAAACTAATTCCAAAATTTCAAAACTATGTAAAAACTCTGAAACTATATCAAAATTCTGAAACTTCAAATTGTATAGTGATATTATCCGAAACTATTTTGGAAGTTATAATTAATAATAATTGTTTTAAAAAAAAAACTTCATCATATGCTGTAACTGGGTTACTTTAACAACTTGAATAACCTGGATAACCCAGATTAATCTGATTATATTAAAATGTGGTAAGATATTATGTGAGGCTTTATATGCATCGATATTATGAATAGTTTTAAAGTGCATTACTTTGAAAAAGGAGGTGCTTGATTCAAAACCACTACACTGTATGATTTTTTTAAAAAATTTCACCCTCCAATACTATATAATTCTGGTCACCAATACATATTATACTGGTTTGCAGTTACAACACTTCACAGTCAATCAATTCACATTTCACTGGAACTCAATTCACTAACAAGTTTGTTTCGTAAACAATTTATTTCACAGACAGCTCATTTCGCCAGCAAGTTATTTTTAAAAAATTACACTAATCTTAATTCTGATCCTAACGATGATGATCAAATTATATTGTCAGTAAAATATATTGTTGAAGAATAAACTTGTTGGTGAATTGAGTTCCATGAAAATAAACATATTGGTAAATTGATTGTTAAGTATTATAAAGTGAGCAGATCTAGAAATAAGGTAATTTCTTTACTCACCCACCTATAGCAGAGATATCCACAACCACCTATAGGAGCATCTACCCACCTACACATAAAGATGTACACCCACTCGTAGAGACACATACCACTTATTACATTAGTCAACCCAACCGCCCATATTCCTCTCACAGACACCCACCTACCCCTTCTCACGGAGACACCCACCCACCTCCCTCTCAAAGACACACTCATAACAAGTAAAGAAAATATAATGACAAAAAAGAAAAACAGAAAAGCAAAGTAATATTAAAAAAAAAAATGCTAAATTATAAGGCGAAAGTAAAAATAAAATGTAAACTTTATCCAATCATTTATAGAATTACGTAATTGCTCATATTATATATATATACTAGCAATTATGCAAAATGATTGGATAAAATTTTTTTTCATCTCATTTTTTTTTCTTATTCTTTTTTAACTTTCGCCTAGTTTCTTTTAACTCATTTATTTTCTGTTTTAGCTTTTATATTTTTTTTGTTATATTTCTCTTTTGTTATTATTTTTCTTTTTTTTTACGCTTTTATTTTTTTGTCTTCGATATACTAAGTGTTTCTACAAATAGTAGAGTTAGATCTGTCCGTTGTGAGAGGCAAGATCGACCTTTCAATTCTATTTTTAGCATTTAGTTCTATTTTTGGGGTTAAAGGTAGTGCAGATTCCTGGAATTTCCAGAATTCCTGGAATTTGTAGGATTCGAGGAATGATAGAAATTACAAGAATTCATAGAATAGCTAGAATAGCAAGAATAGTTGGAATTCCTAGGATTCCTAGAATTCTGTTATATATAACAATTAAGTATATATAGAAGGTAGTTTTCTCCAAAATAAAGATAACTCACTAGAGTTCGACTCAACAAAGAGTCTATTATCTATCTTTGAATATTGTGCGCATATAATTACACACATTCATTCCTCTAATTCCCAATAAACTATCTCTTATCCCATAATTCCGAATTAGAGCCTCGTGGCATAGTCTAGAGCTCTATTTGCCCTAATAACTCAGACCAAGTCTTTCCACGCCTCTTTCTGCCTTTCAACATTAGGGTTAGATAGAGTTTAACTGTCATAGTATTGATTTGGAATAGTTTAGTTAGTGATTGGACTCAGGTCAAGTATTACTCGGGTTAACCGCGGGTAACCAGATAACCAGGTAATGACTACAGCTATTTGGGTAAGTACACCCGGGTATTACTCGGGTGGATATACCCAAGTAATACCCGGGTAGACATACCCGAGTATTACTTGGGTAGATAAACCCGGGTTTACTAATT